CTCCACAGCCTTCTGTGGCAGTGAATTCCATAGATTCACCACTCTCTGGCTGAAGAAGTTTCTCCTTATTTCCGTTCTAAAAGGTCTTCCCTTTACTGTGCCCTCGGGTCCTAGACTCTCCCCTACCAATGGGAGCATCTTCCCAACATTCACTTGGTCCAGGCCTTTTAGTATTATGCAAGTTTCAATTAGATCCCCCCTCATCCTTCCAAACTCCATCGAGTATAGATTCAAGGTCCTCAAATGTTCCTCATATGTTAAGCTTTCCATTCCTGGGACCATTCTCGTGAACCTCCTCTGAACCCGCTCTAGGGCCAGTACATCCTTCCTGAGATACGGGGCACAAAACTGCGCAAAATACTTCAAATGTGGCCTGACCAGAGCCTTATAAAGCCTCAGTGGTACATCCCTGCTTTTATATTCAAGTGCTCTCAAAATAAATACCAACATTGCATTTGCCTTCCTGACTACTGACTCAACCTGCAAGTTTACCTTGAGAGAATCCTGGACTTGAACTCCCAAGTCTCTTTGCACTTCAGGCTTCTGAATTTTCTCCCCATTTAGAAAATAGTCCATGCTTTTATTCTTCTTACCAAAATGCATGACCTCACACTTTCCCACGTTATACTCCATCTGCCACTTCTTTGCCCACTCTCCTAACCTGTCCAAATCCTTCTGCAGCCTCCCCACCTCCTCAATACTACCTTTCCCTCCACCTATGTTTGCATCGCCTGCAAACTTAGCCAGATTGCACTCAGTTCTTGTACCTCGATCATTAATGTATAAAGTGGAAAGTTGTGGTCCCAACACTGACCCTCAGAACACCACTGGTCACTAGCTGCTCTAAAGAGAGTGGGTTTGGACTTAAAAAAGCGGGGAACCAAAACAACGATGGTGATGGGGTGGTTCTGTTCATTAAGAATGACATTAATCAATTAGTGAGAGATGACTTAGCTCAAAAGGGGAGAGTTTTGGGTGGCGATAGGAAATAAACAATGGAAGAAGTCCCTTGTGGGAGTTTGTTATTGGCCTGATAACACTATAGGGGAGACTCTATCGGAAGAAAGAAATTTGGCATGTAAGGTAACAAAATAATCAAGGGTGGCTTTAATTTACAGGATCAGTCGAGCAAATCAGATTAGCAAAGGACACCTAGTAGATTAAGTTTCGTATAGAATACGTTCTAGCACCAATCAGGGAGCGAGCTGCTCTGGAACAAAGAACTATAAATGCTGGAGATCTGAAACAAACAGAATCAGAAATTGCTGGAGAAACTCTGCCAATCTGGCAGCATCTGTCCAGAGAGAAACAGAGTTAACGTTTCAAGTCCCGTGATGTTCTTTAGACCAGCAAGATGTCCTAGACCAGGTAACGAGCAATAGGATAGGATTTATCAGTAACCTTATGGTAAAGAGACCTCCCAGTGACAGCAATCATAACAAGACAGAGTTTCACATTTACTTTGAATGTGAAAAGTGTGGGGTCTAGGACTAGCGTTTCAAGCCACAATAAAGTGAATCATAAGAGGCTACGAAGGCAAAGTTGGCTAAAGATGTACTGACAGGCATTATATATAACCGTCAGCAAGGATTTCTCTCTCATAGTCATACAGCACAGGAACAGACCCTTTGGTCCAACCAGTCCATGTTGACCAAAATCCCAAACTAAGCTAACCCCACCCGACTGCTCCCTTCTACCTCTTTCATGACTACAGTGATGGTTTCCTTTATCAATAATGGAATGACCCCACCTCTCTAACTTCTATCCCCTGGACTGTTGAGCTATCAGTCACCGAGTCATTAAGCATGGAAACTGACCATTCTGTTCAACCAGTCCGTGTGGATCATAATCTTAAAGTAAACTTGTCCCTTGGCCCATGTCCATCCAAACCTTTCCTATTTATGTGCCTATCCAAATGCTTTTAAATGCTATAGTTGTACTTATATCCATCACTTCCTTGGGAAGTTCATTTCACACACTAGTCATAGCACCACCCGCTAGTGTAAAAAAAACTGCCCTTCATGTCTTTTTTTAAATCTTAAGACGAGAGGAGACAAAGTGTGCCCCCTATTGTTGATATCCCCCATTCCAGGGAAAAGACTACTACCATTAACTCTATCTGTACCCCTCTATTTTCTAAACCTTGCCTCTCAACCTCCTACACTCCAGTGAAAAAAAGTCCCGACCTATCTAGCCTTTTTTTTAATATAATGTCATACCCAGCAACATCCTGATAAACCTCTTTTGAATCTTCCCCAGCTTAATAATATCCTTCCTCTAACTGAGCGGCCAGAACTTGATACAGTACTCCAGAAGAGGCCTCACCAATGTCCTGTACAACCTCAACATGACTTCTCATGAAGAAGATCTCAGAGAAAGATGCGTCATCGTCGCTTTAAGTAGCTAAGGACAGCATCAAATTGAAGGAAACACCACACAAATCTGTAAAGGTTAGTGGTCAGTCGGGAGATTGGGCTGATGTTATGAACTAGCAAAGAACAACATTAAAAAAGGGATAAACATAAGAATAAGAGAAAGCTAGCTAGACATATTAAAGCTAATAGTAAGAGGTTCTACAAGTACACATTTGTCAGGATGTGTTTCTTTTTGTAAAGCAATAGTCAGTTTTGTGCCCAGTGACTATGTCGATATGGCTGCTGAAGTTAACAGCCTTCCTCCCACTAATTAATTAAGTCGCTGCTACGTTACAGCAAAGACTCAAATGGGAACTGGAAAACCGATAAGAGCTGAAGACTTCCACAGACACATTACCTTGGGACGTGTAGGCACATAGAGCAAATCGCAGGGCGTCTGTCCCACATTCTGGAATCCCAACCGGATAATCAGATTTCTAACAGGCAGAACCAAAAGGTAAAAGTGAGATTTAAACGCTGGATGGTCATACACAAAAGACAGACTTGCATTGATATAGCTCCTTTCACTAGTCAGCACACCACCCAGAATGCTTTACAGCCAATGCAGTGCAGTGATGCTGCAATGTACAACATGCAGCAGCCAATTTGCAAGCAGGAAGCTCCCACAACATTTTTGTTTTTAGTGATGTCAGTTGAGGAATTAATATTGGCCAGAACAAGGAGGGATACTCCACCTCAGCAGTTTGAAGCACGGTTTTGGGATCCAGGGCCCGAAGTCTGACGTCTGATCAGAAGGATGGTGCCCTGACTGTGACACACTCCGTCAGCCCTGTGCTGGGAAGGTCAAACTCGCTCGGGAGTTGAACTCAGGACCTCCTGACTCAGGAGGTGAGAAAGGAGGTGGCAGAAAACAGTGCACTCCCGCTAGTGGTGAGGTTGTGCTGGAAGACGTAATAATACAATGCCTAAAAACTTCACCTTCGGATGACAGTTCACCACACACAAACAGCACACCCTTTCTCTGTCCAGCTTCCCCATAAATGTACGCTGTTCACTTCACCCAGCCTCCTTGTGGTAGCACGTTCCCTCTACCCCCTGACAGAGGGCAGCGGACAGACAGACAGACAGAGTTGTGCAAAGCCCAGCAGTATTTACCTGGCCCGCCTTGGCTCGCTCGATCTCGACAGGGTCCAGGTTACTATCCAGTAGCTGTGCGTGCAGACCCTGCAGGAACACAAATGAAAGGCAAATAACCAACTGTGGCTACTTGGGTGTGTGCGCGCGCTCTCCGACAAAGCAGCACATAACTAACAAGCCTGATATCTTCTGGCAAAAATCATTCACACGCACACAATGGGCAGCGCGGTGGCTCAGCGGTTAGCACTGCTGCCTCACAGCATCAGGGACCCGGGTTCGATCCCACCCTCGGGCGACTGTCTGTGTGGAGTTTGCACATTCTCCCTGTGTGGATTTCCTCCGGGTGCTCCGGTTTCCTCCCACAGTCCAAAGGTGTACAGGTTAGGGTGGATTGGCCGTGGGAAATTGCCCCGAGGTGGATTAGCCACGGGAAATGAAGGGTTACAGGGATAGGGTAGGTGGGTGGGCAGGATGCTCTTCAAAGGGTCAGTGTGGACTCGATGAGCCGAATGGCCTGCTACCACACCGTAGGGATTCTGTGACTCTAATGATAAAAACAGATACAAGGGTCCTCTTGTGGCACAGTGGTAGTATCCCTGCCCCTAGACCAGGATGCCCAGGTTCAAGTCCCACCTGCTCCAGAGGTGAGCAATAACATCTCTGAACAGGCTGACTGAAAAAAGAATAGATTAATAAAAATGGACAAACAAATACAAGATGTACAGTGATAGGGTCCCTACCTCTGAGGCAGGAGGCCAGGGTTCAAGCCCCACCTGCTCCAGGTTGATTCAAAAATACCTACAAACAGACACAGTAGTGTCTCTACCTCCGAGCTAGGGGTAGGGGTTCAAGACCCTTTTGCTCCAGAGCATTCTACATTTGAACTATCAGAGCAGGCTGATCGGAAAGTATTGACAAATACGGACACGCCCAGTTACACTCTGACGTCTACATCCATGAGAGTTGATACATCTGAAGGTGCTGATTTCTCAGCCGTCATTGGCCGGCGACTCCAGATTGAAGGCTCAAGGCGAGAGGTTGGTCATTATGGATCAGAGCAAGGAGAAATCGTTTCGCTCAGAGGGTGGTGAGAATCTGTGTCTCTGTGGCCCCCATGGAAGCTCAGTCAGTAAGACGGAGATTTAATGACAGTGTGGGCATTAGCCAAGCATATGGAAGCTGGAAACACGAGAATGAGGGGCAGGAAGAGACCCATCAACTTCCGCTAATCCACGTGCTCACAGCCGAGCCTAAACACCATTCTCCTGCCTCCTCAAAAAACTCATCTGTCCCAGGGTTAAATACATTTAACGTCAAAGTATTCACAGCATTCTGCTCTCCCTCCTGTGACAATGCTGTGGCTTTAACAGGTTATTTTGTCCTTTTTTTTGGAGAGAGTTTTGTAAGGCAGAGGTGTTGAGCCGTCCACCAAACCCACTGGAGTAAACAGTTTGTGAGGCCTTGGAGTTTTTTTTTGAAGAAGTTAAAACAATAGAGGCAGCGTGGACAGGTGTGGCTAGCTCTCACAGAACCAGGACGTCTGGTGTGTTTTTGTTTTAAGAAAAGTTTTTAGGCTTTGTTTAAAGCAGTTGCCCTTGTGAGCTGGAAGAAGTAAAAGCTACTTTTCCCTTTCTCAGTTAAAGCCAAAAGCCATGGGTTCCCTTCCTAGGCTGCTGGATTGCATGTGAGACCAAATCTGTTTTTTTTCTGAATTTGCCTTTTTGCCAATGGCTGTGTTTATGGGACGTTACTGTAGTGGAACAGTTAATTAGTAATAGTTACTGTATCTATTATACTGTTAAGTTTTCCAGTAGAGTTCAGTTATTCTAAATTCATCTTTCTTTGCTGTATTTTAACTATAATGTTTATATAAATTGTGTGCTTTGCTTATCCTGGAGTAGTTTGACCAGTCGCATTGCATCTGGAACAGAGCAATTTATATTTTCTTAAAATATAAGAAAAAAGTTAGGGTCTAGGCTATCCTCTTAAAATATTTTGAGGGGGTCTGGTCTGGTCCGGTCCATAATACTCCCCTTGGAGAGCAGAGAATTCCAGAGATGTAGAACTCTTGGAGTGAATGGATTTCTCTTTATCTCTTATCCTTGCAGGATGAGCTGATCAAGACGACCAGATATGGCATTCCTGAGTGGGGCAGCAGGTCTAAGGAGGGAGGTCACTCCTACTTCCTACTGAAGGGGGAGTCCATTTGGGAACCCACCGGGCCCGAGCAGCCAGGGAGGCCAAGCACGGAGCTATCCCACATCATCCCGCGCGGTCTCACCTCCAGCGTTATGCCAAAGATCACATCCAGAGGATCAATTACGTTGCCAAGAGATTTGCTCATCTTCCTGCCGTGAGCGTCTCGGACGATGGCATGGAGATAAACCTGGAGATAATCGGGAGACAAGAGGGGGATCAGTACAACAGTCACAGAGTCACACAGCACAGAGACAGGCCCCTCGCTCCAACCCGTCCATGCTGACCCAGATATCCTAAATAAATCCAGTCCCATTTGCCAGCATTTGGCCCCTATCCCTCTAAACCCTTCCTATTCATATACCCATCCAGATGCCTTTTAAATGTTATAATTGTACCAGCCTCCACCACTTCCTCTGGCAGCTCATTCCAAACACATACCATCCTCTGTGTGAAAAAGTTACTCCTCAGGTCCCTTTTAAATCTTTCCCCTCTCACCTTAAAACTATGCCCCTCTGGTTTCGGACTCCCCTACCCTGGGGAAAGGACCTTGACCTATCCATGCCCCTCATGATTTTGTAAACCTCTATAAGGTCACCCCTCAGCCTCCGACACTCCAGGGAAAATAGCCCCAGCCTATTCAGCATCTCCCTGTAGCTCAAACCCTCCAAACCCCAGCAACATCCTTGTAAATCTTTAATGAACCCTTTCAAGTTTCACAACATCCTTCCTATAGCAGGGAGACCGGAATTACACACAGTATTCCAAAAGTGGCCCTAACTAATGTCCTGTACAGCCGCAACCTGACCCTCCCAACTACTATCCTCAATGCACTGACCAATAAAGGCAAGCGTACCGAACACCTTCTTCACCGTCCTGTCTACTCGTGACTCCATTTTCAAGGAACGATGAACCTGCACCCCAAGGTCTCTTTGTTCAGCAACACTCCCCAGTAAGTGTATAAGTCCTGCCCTGATTTGCCTTTCCAAAATGCAGCACCGCACATTTATCTAAATTAAACTCCATCTGCCGCTCCTCGGCCCATTGGTCCAACTGACAAGGAGAAAGTAATGTCCAGCAAAGGGGACAGGAGTCACCCGCGCTGTACAGAGGGTCAGTAACACTGGGC